TCCCCCCAGGGCCTATGGGCTCGACTGGACTATATTGTTCTTCCCCTGGCTTGGAAAAGCTATACTCTCTCATCCAGAGTGCTCTATGAGCTCGAGGTTCTCCAACAGAGAGACGACCACGCGCCAGTCTTTCTCTCTGTTCAATTCGTTGGATTCAAGCCTGCTATTGCATATACCAGTCGGCTACGCAGAGTGGTCCGACCACGTGTCGACCGCAGCCTTGCGGGACGCCAAGAGGCGCGTCGACGCCTTCAGCTCATCCCTGCATCGCACTGGCAAGTTGATGTTGATGCGCATTATGATTGCCTGGTACAAGCCTGGAAGATGCAGTTTGCAGATTTGCAGACCCCACCAGACAAAGCCCCTCGCCAGCCCTTTCTTTCGCATGCCACTTTGGACCTGGTGCATTTTCGCACAGCACTGCGCCAGTACCTTCGTGCTGAGACTCAAGAAAGGCGACGACGCCTCCTTGTTATCACTCTTGCGGCTTTTGTCTGTCACTGTACCGGTGCCACCTTTTCCTTTGCTGCCCGAGCGAAAGCCAGTGCCTGGCTGTGGTCCATGGATTGGAGTGAAGCTAGGGCTTTGGCAGCATTACGGAGTGGGAAACCCGTCGGGAGACAAGGGACACACAGCAGCAGCGAGCTTCGGGTTCCAGGGATGGTGACGACTTGTCCACAGAGGTGTCGGTGACGTACCCACCGGTCCCTCCTCCTGAGTCCCCTCCTCCGCCCATTGCGTGCATCCCTTCTATTGTGTCCCAGAGCAGGCCTAGGCTTTGGCTACCAGGGAAACAGTGGATTGGCAATAATCCGCAGAGGGCGGGTTACTGGAAGCAGGAGCCGGTGATCACCCAGGTTGATAGCGATTCATCTGCTACTTCGGGCGACAGCAGCAGTGATAGTGACTGTGAAAGCTCGTCCAGTGGATGGCACACGCCGCCGAGACCACAGCAACCTGTTGGTCTCATCTCCTTCCTCTACTTCGATCAAGCCCCAGCTGCTTCGGTGGTTGAGGTGGGCCCACACATCGCCTTGCTCTCTGTATGCTTACATGAACATAGGACACTATGGGGTCAGGCGGTCACGCACGTGGCTTCGTCTGGGATATGCATGGATGATGTCCGCTGCCCTGACTCTCTTTTAAGCCGATGTGCCGACTATGCCTATGCTCAATTGTGTTTTGCGCCTCAAGGTGCCTTGACATGGCCTGGTCTGGCCTGGAAGAGCATGCTGGGCTTGACTCTCGCCTTTGCTGTTGCATTCACAATGAGAGCACTTTGGATGGGTAAGGTCGGATGCTTCTGCAGAGGGTGGCCACAGGGCTCCATGTACATATGGGCCGTCTTCAGGGTACGGCGCGGAGCTTACCGGAGGCGTCGAGTGCGCCAAAAATCATTTCGCACTGACACAGGCACTGCTGAGCAGTTCAAGAGGTACTCCTTGTACTACTGTCGCTGCTTACAGTCAGGAGGCTGCCTCCTTCATCATTTCATCAGTTCGATGTGGCAGCACTCTCTGGGCTCCAGCTGCCTTATCCATTCGATAGCGAGTTTCCATATGCTGCGTCAGACTCTCGAAGTGCACTGTCTTTGCCGATGCTCGGCTAGTGGCCTAGTGGGAGCTGCACGACGCGATCAGGTGTGTTCTGTGCACGCCACAACTGACAAGGCGCGTGGAGCCCAGCCAACGCTCACACGGCATGTCATTCAGGATTTGCAGACGGGGCTCGCTATGAAGGGCTACCAGGTCGGTCTGTCACACACTGTAGACCCTGCCGAAGAGACTGTATACCCTGCCAAAAAAGGAAACATCATGCCCCCTTCTAGCAGGGTCTACAGTAGGGTCCAAAGTAGCAAAAACCCCAAAAACGGACCTTGGCGGACCCTCATAGGGCTCGCGCATGTTGTGGTCTCCATTCGAGTCTTCTGCAGTGCCGTTCATGTTCATGTACTTCTTCTCGTTTATTTCTTTAGGGATTTGCTGAGCCGCTCCAGTCCCAAGTCTGGAGATGCTGGATGTAGAACGTCCTTTTCGCTATTGCGCAAATTTTTCAGCATTGGTGTGAGGGTTGGTGTCTCTTCGCAAGGGACGCCTGAAGGGGCATTTTCTTCTGTGAACTTGTCGTGCACCTTCCCAAAGCTTTGCGGATGGCATGGAGATTGCCTACCAAGTTTTTGCATGTTGGTCACATTCTTGATTACTTTTGTTACAGCATGGCTTGAGCGAATCGTCAGCTCGTTATGCTGCATCTTAGTACACGCACTCACACACATCTCCGTGCATCACATGGGGCGTGCTCGCCTCAAATTGACTGTGTGCATGCTGCTGGTCATGTTGACACCCGTCAAGGCAAATACTGCTGCAGCCCCACCACGAAGCCAAGACTTAGGCTCTGGTTCTTCGCATGCCTCACAAGTGCGTAAGCGCGCAGTGCTCAGGGCCATCGCACGTGCCAAGCAACACCCGGAGCGTGGCACTTGGTACAGAAACCGATGGCATAGCTTGCAAACCTTGGTCGGCAACTACAGGTCTGTGCCGACAAGAGCAGTGGATGCCAAGTGTCAGCCCAAGGCACCAATGCATAGCAAATCAAGGCGTCTCAGAACCCTCACCTACAATGTGGGAGGTCTTTCCACAGATGCCTATGATGAACTTATGGTGTGGGCCTCATCAGAGTCATGTCTGCGTGACTATGACGTGCTCGTTCTTACTGAGACACATTGGAAATCTTTTCAAGAATTTGAGTCCCAGGGCTGGTATGCCATCAGCACGGGTGCTTCCTCCGATAAGAATGCAGGCATCCTGATTCTAGTGCGTCGTACACTGTGTGACGGTTCCCTCTTGCAGTCCAGCATTGTCGTTCCCGGCCGTGTAATACACGTTCGAGTTCCCGTGGCTGCCTCGGGGGATAAAGCTGTGGACATCGTTGGAGTATATCAACATGCCTGGAATTTTCAGATCCCGCAGGCAGAGATGCTGGCCAAACGAGAAAAGATACTACTTCGCATGTCCCAGACGATCTCCAACCTTCCATGCAGGAACCAATTGGTGGTGGCTGGAGACTTCAATGTTTCGGCGCTGCCCTCACCGAGGCATATTGGACCACACATCAGGTTGTCGTCGAATCCTTTGCCGGATTGTGAGTTCTTCTGCAGCATGGTTAAAGGCCTCAATCTCGTCATCTTGAACTCCTGGACGAAGGCGGCCTCAGTTGGCACTTTCTGCACGGCTGGCACATCGTCAACTCGCACACACATCGATTTTGTCCTCACCAGGTTAGGGACTGCGGATGCCATTGCCAAGACATCGAGCACCATCCAACAACACCGGCTGTTCGCCTGGCGAGGCGGAGGGTTTCATTGGCCTGTCCATGCATCAATTCCACTTCTGCGGTACCTGCCAACTGTTGGCCATGCCGCACAGACAGGCTTTGATCTGCAAGGACTCAGGGCTGCGACACAGGCGCGTTCCGATCTTGCACAGCAACTCCAACGGGAAGTCACGGCGTCCTTCCAATCATCTCCTCCTGGTTGCCCCGAGGAAGTCAACAACCTGTTGTGTTGCCTTACCAGAAAGTACTTTCCGCCGGTTAAGGAGAAAAGACAGGACCGACCCTGGCAACTTGCTGATATGCAGCTCGGGATCAAACGCATGTGGCAGGAACGCAGACTCGCGAAGTCCTATGCGCTTGGCACGGCTCGGAGGCCTGGTGGGCAGTGCCTACTCTTTGCGATTCGAGCCTGGAGTCATACAGTCACCTTTCAGCGCATGCATGCCCGCATACGTAAGTTGGGTCGCGAGGCCAGGCGTGCACAGTTAAACGACACCATTCAATGTGCGGGGGATGCTGCCCACAAAGGCGACCAACGTTCTCTTTTTGCGATCATACGACGGCTTGCTCCCAAGTCCCTCAAGCATCGCATTCACTTCAGATCCAAGGAGGGGCACATGCTCAGTCTTGACTCTGAGATGGCACTGCTCGTCAAACATTGCCAGGATGTCTTTGGACAAGGCACGCTTGTTCCAGGCATGTCCGCTTTGCAGGCACCGTTTCACTTGGAGGTGGATACTCTTCAGGCTGCCTTGGCCAAGCTTCGTCCTAGCAAGGCCACGCCTCTTCACTCTGCTCCGGTTGCGGTGTGGAAACTCTGTGGTGAGGTTCTTTGCCAATGGCTCAGTGATTACACGGCTCGCATTTGGAACACCCGTGCGATCATCCCGACCAGATGGTCGGACGCTGATATGATCTGGCTGTCTAAAGGCAAACCTGTCTTCACGCCCAATGATCTCCGACCAATAGGTCTGCAAGATGTTGGAGCCAAAGTGATCAGTCGGGGCCTCAATTCGCACGTTGCGCCACTGGTGGCCACAGCTCTGCGACACTTGCCGCAATTCGCCTACACTAAAGGTCGTACTCTGGAGAATGCTCTTCTTCGTGTTGTCACGCACTGTTCGCGCGTCCGCCAGGTCCTCGAACATGCCCACAGAATGGCCACGGCTGAGGCACAGCGCATTCGCCTGATCAAGTTCTTGCATGGTCGCCGAGGGATTTCACTTCGTAAGCGGACACTTCTGTGGCAAAGTTGTGTCTGGTCCTCGGCCTCATACGGCATGGCGGTAGTAGGCTTCAGTCAACATGGTGCCGCTGCTTTCTCAGCAAGGGTGATGCGCCAGCTGCGGGCCTTAGCTGGAAGCCCGGTGCACATTACGGGTGAGAGCAACAGCAAGCTTCTATGCAGGTTGGGTCTACAGCATCCTCTGAAAGTCTTAGCTGACTGCAGCCAGGCCTTGCTTCGGAAGTTCAGCAGCTCTACCGACCCCATGGTCAACGAAGTGGCGGTGCTGTCTCACCTTGCTCAGGTTTCCGAAACAACTAGCGAGCAATGGCGAACGGTCATTGCCAGGCCGTCGGCACCTGCTCAGGATGGAACGAGTTCTCTGCCGATGCAAGGTGCGGCCCCTGGAGCCTGCATCGAGGGTCGTACGGGGCCTAGGCAGGCTAACTTCCTGTGTGAGCATTGTCTTCTGTGCTTCGCAGACTTGTCCACTCTCAAACGTCACCTGGTATCCGCGCACCAGGCCCCTATGCCAGCATGGTCTGGGGTCTTTGCACGTGCTGAACACTCAGTTGGAGGCCTACCGAAGTGCAAACACTGTGGCGGGAGTCTCAGATCCTGGCCTCATCTTCAAAGGCACATCATCGACAACAACTGTCCTGCGCACTGGCTCAGTGAGCACGGCCTGGAGATGGAGACGGCCGCTGAGCAGTCAAGTGAACCAGAGTTTGTTAGGGAGGCTGCCTCTCCTGTTGAGTCTTCGACTGACAAGCGCCCTGAACTGACGTCGGTTGCATCTGCTCAGAAGCCAAACACCTCCGGTCAGGTCCTGCACGTAGATGCTCTCCGGCCATCCGTCCACCAGTCTCCTGAAGATGTCTTACCCCACGCCCAGATCCCACGGAAGGTTCAGCCTGAACAGCAATCCCAAGTGGTAATCCAAAATCGTCCGGAGATCATTGACATTGTCACAAGTAGGGGATGGATGGCACTTCTCGATGATACTCGTCTCTGCACGGAGATGTCTGTGTACTGTGTCATATGTGGGCAGTGGCTCGCGGACAAAACACAGATGAAGGTTCACACTCAAAGGATCCACGGTGCTTTGTGGCTTGAGCATCAGGCCCGGGCTACTGCTGAATGCAAACTGCATGCACATCTTGCGACGAGCCCGTGTCGGTACTGCGGCGCAGTGGTGAAGCGCACGAAAGAACATGCATATAAATGCACTGTCATGTGGCAAGCTGCTTTCGTTTACTGCCTTCATGTGGCACCAGCTCATCCTGCTGCCATCGAGACCTGTTTACCTAGCCGTGCCAAGCCCAGCAAGGTGTCCCTCTTACAAGACGAATCACTAATCGCTGCATGGCGGGCACAGGGGTTTCAGGCTTTACTCAAGCATGAGGCCGTATTGGCATCCTCACTGAAGTGCGTTTTGTGCGGCGAAGTGGTGAAAACACACAAGGTCTTGAAACTGCACATTCGTGGCATGCACCGCACTATCTTTGATCTGCACTCGGAATCTGTCTCCGCTCAGTGTACGAAGTTGCCCGAGAAGCCTGGGTCCCCCTGTGTCTACTGCGGTAGACATGTCGTCAAGCTCTCAGCTCACCCCAGCATGTGCTCTGTGATTGGCAAGCGGCTCTCCTAGATGCGCTCCTGAAGGCCTCCCACCCTGCTGACGGCGGTGGACGAGGAAATGGCTCTCTTCGGCGAAGCCTTGCCGTCTGTGAAGCGTCAAGTGGAGGAGGAGGCACTGGAGTCCTCCAAGAGGGTCAAGGCCCAGGTACCGAAAGGGGGAGGGAAGGGCAGGAACGGCCGGGGCCGGGGAGGTCGCGGGAGAAACGGCGGCTTCGGTGGAAACAACCACCAGGGGTCTCAGGGCCACCCAGTGACAGGGCAAGCTCTTCAGGGCTGCGACGAAGCACTGCTCAAAGCTCTTCTTCAGCTAGCCTTGCGGCACGAGGACCTGTTGCAGAGGCTGAGTCAGGACACCACTCACGTCTGGATGTTCGAGAACGTCCAAGGACCACAGCAGGTCTTGAGCATGATGTACAACGTGACTCAAACGTGGAAGAAGCTACGAGACGAGACTCCCGAGAAGCTCACGCGCAACCTTCGCACTACAGTAATCCTGGCCCTCTTCCAGGAGTTGTCTCTGCGTCTTGCCAGGGTTCGCGAGGTGCCGGAGGCAAAGGCAGCGGCGGAGAAGAAGGGCTGGCTTCTGGAAGACCAGTGGCTTTACTTGCGGTGGAGTCACGACCAGGGTGCCCTGGTGAAGGACACAGCAGCGGAGCCAGTGTCTCTGGCAGACTTGGAGAGTCAGGTTCAGCGTGCGCTTGTGCTTCTCAAAAGCCCTGGGGTTCTCCACAAGTTCCAGTCCACACGCCCACTGGCAGAGGAGCTGACAGGGAACACACTTTGCTTTCTCAGCGAACTGTCTCTACGAGGCCCAGAAGCCCAAGAACTGTGGAGCCTGATCAACTCATGGTATGGGCTCGCTGCCCTCAACATGATTGGTCTTCGAGTTCGGCCGGCCAGAGCACTTCGCTCCAAGCTGGCAGACCAGCTTCAGCAGAGCTTAGGCAGGTGATTTCCTTGAAGCTTCAAAACCCTGGGAACCTGTGCTATGTCCACACATGCGTGCACTGTCTTGCCTGGATGGAGGCCTCCTCAGGTGAGCATTTCGCGCGTTTTGGGGTGCACCGGCAGGCATTCCTCAGTATACTCTCGGCTTGTCGTCCGCTGACTCTTCTGGGTCATTCTCTCTGGAAGCAGGTGATACGTGATTGGCATCCGCGACACATGTTTCAGCAGGACGCGGGTGAATTCCTGCAACATCTTCTTGCTGACAACATACCTGCATCACTTGAGGGCGTATGGCTTGAACGCTACTTGGATGATGCAGGGCTGGTGCAATCACGTGATGTGTCCAGTGCCAACCCATTGCCGATTGCGCTTGATCACTCTGCAGCCACATCCACGGTTCAGGAGCTGGTGTCTTCATGGCATCACGTGCCAGGGGAGACGAAAGTCAAGGCCTTTCTGATGCCGCCTTCATGCTTGTGTCTGCAGTTACTAAGGTTTCAGTATGACCGTAGGCTTGAGTGTGCTGTGAAGACTCCAATCCCCAGCATCTATCCAAGAGAAAGGTTTCTACAGCTACCTTGCTTCAATGGTAATGGCATGGAGTGTTCCTCAGTTCAGTACCGCTTGGAGGCTGTGTCCCTTCATCATGGTCTGACCCCGCAGCAAGGTCACTACACGTCTGTCTTCTTGGAAGGGGGCTCTGAGAGGGCCTGGCATGCAAACGACGGGGTGTCGGCAAAACCAGCTGCTTCGGAGCGCCTGTCTTCTCTGTTAGCGGATGCCTCTTTGAACAAAATCACAGTCTTTTCAC